ACTTAAGCGCCTATTACCCAATGTCCCGGAGTGCTTACTGGCCACTCCAGTAAATAAATCATTATAAAAAACACGAGCGCTTATCACCCAATGACCTAGGGCGCTTACTAGCCACTCCAGAAAATAAGTAAATATAAGAAACACAAGTGGCTTTTACCCAATGACCCAGATCGCCTACTGGCCATGCCAGAAAACAAGTAATTATTAATAACACAAGCGCCCATCATCCAATGACTTAGGGTGCTAACTGGCCTGCACTCTAGGAAATAGATGTATGTCAATAACAGAAGGGCCTTTTACCTAATGACCCAAGACGCTTACTAGTCACTTTAAAAAATAAGATATTATTAATAATACAAGCGCTTATTACCCAATAACTCATGGCGCTTACCAGCAATGTTGTTAAATAAGTAATTTTAATAAAGACAAGCGCCTATCACCCAACGACACGGAGCGCTTACTGGCCACTCCAGTAAACGAAACATTATTAATAACACACGCGCCTATCACCTAATGACTCATGGGGCTTACCGGCAACTTTGTTAAAAGAGTAATTATAATTAACACAAGCGCCTATCACCTCATGACCCAGGGTTTTAACCATCCACTCTGAAAACGAATAGTAGGTAATAGCATAAGCGCCTATCGCCCCACAACTTAGGGCCCTTACTGGCCATTTTGTTAAACGAATATATATTAATGACACTAAAGCCTATCATTTGGTGACCTAAGTTGCATACTGGCCATCCTGTGCAATGAATAATTAATAATAACACAAGCTCCTATCACCCAATGAGCCAGGGCGCTTACTGTCCACTCCAGGTAATAAGTATTTATTAATAACACAAGCGCTTATCATCAAATGTGCCAGGGCGCTTACTGGCCCCTCCAGAACATGAGTAAATTTTAATAACACAAGCGCCTATCACCCAATGATCCAGGGCGCTTACTAGCTACTCTAGAATATAAGTCATTTAAATTAACGTTAGCGCCTATCACTCAATGACACGAAGCGCTCTTTGGCCGCTCCAGTGAACAAAGCATTATTAATAACACACGCGGCTATCACCTAATGACTCATGCTGCTTACTGGCTACTCGAGTAAATAAATAAATTTTATTTATTTAAGCGCCTATTACCTAATGTCCCAGAGCACCTACTGGATACTCTAAAAAATAAGTGATTATTAATAATACAAGTGCCTATTACCCAATGACCTAGTGCGCTTACTAAACACTCCAGAAAAAAAGGAAATATTAAAAACACAAGCGCCCGTCACCCAATGACCCATGGCGTTTACCGGCAACTTCGTTAAATAAGTAATTATAATTAACACAAGCGCCTATCACCTCACGACCCAGGGTGCGAACTATCCACTCTAAAAACGAATATTTTTTTATAGCATAAGCGTCTATCGCCCCGTAACTTAGGGCAGTTACCGGCCATTTTGTTGAACGAATAATTCTTAATGACACTGAAGCCTATTATTTGATGGTGACCTAGGTTGCATACTGGCCACTCTGTGGAATGAATAATTGATAATAACTCAAGCGCCTATTGCCCAATAACTCATGGCGCTTACTGGCAAGTTTATTAAATAAGAAATTTTAGTTAAGATAAGCGCCTATCACTTAAAGACCTAAGGCGCTCACTAGCCACTCCAGGAAATAAGCCATTATAATTAACGTTAGCGCCTATCACCTAATGACCCGGGGCGCTTACTGGCCACTCAAGTAAATAAATAATTTTTATTAACTCAAGCGCCTATATCCCAATGACCCAAGGTGCTTACTGGCCACTCCAGAAAATAAGTAAATATAAGAAACACAAGTGGCTTTTACCCAATGACCCAAGGCGCTTACTGTCCACTCTAGGAAATAAGTAATTAATTATAACGCAAGCGCTTATCACCCAATCACCCAGGGCGCTCACTGGCCATTTGAGTAAATAATTAATTTTGTATTAACTCAAGTGCCTATTACCCAATGATCCAGGGCGCTTACTTGCCACACTCTTAAATAAATAATAATTAATAACACAATCAGCTGTCACCTAATGACACAGTGCTCTTACTGGCATTTTTGTTTAATAATTGGTTATTTCTTACACTAGTGCCTGTTACCCAATGAAACGGGGCGCTTACTGGCTACTCTATTTAATATGTAATTATATACAACACAAGCGCTTATCGCCTAATGACCCAGGGTGCCTACTGGCTTTTATTAAATAATTAATTATTAATTATTCACAAGAGCGTAAATTAAAAAAATGTAGAGTGAATTAAAATTATGAATCGTTTACATATGTTATCAATCAACTTTTTATTACTTAAAAGCGTTCCGAATAAGTGTCCTGGATCTTCAGAGAAATGGTGGTTTACTTATTTTCGTATCATTTCCTTTCAAGATTTGCAACAAGCGCCCCAGTTTATTAGGTAATAGGGCTTGTGTTTTCAAAAATTACTTATTCAGCAAAGTTGCCAGTAAGCTCCTTGGATTATTGTGTGATAGGCGCTTGTGTTTTTAATTATTATTTATTCAATAGAGTGGCCAGTAAGCGCCCTGGGTGATTAGGTGATACGTTCTTGTGTTATTAGTAATTATTTATTTACTGGAGTGACCAGTTAGCGCTTCGGGTCATTGAGCGACAGGCGCTTGTGTTATCATCAATTATTTAGTTAACAGAGTGGATAGTATCTACCCTGGGTTATTAGGTGATAGATGCTTGGGTTATTAATAATTACTTATTTAATAGAGTGGCCAGTAAGCACCCCGGGTCATTGGTCGATAGGCGCTTGATTTAGTAATAATTACTTTTCTAACAAAGTTGCCAGTAAGCGCCTTATGTCATTTGGGGATTGGCGCTTGTGTCATTTATTGATAACTATTTGTTTAATAGAGATGCCAGTAAGCGCTGTGGGTCATTTGGCGATCGGCGCTTGTGTTCTTAATAATTATTTATTTAACATAGTGGATAGTATGCACCCCGGGTCATCAGGTGATAGATGCTTATGTTATTAGACCTTATTTGAATTTTGCGCCTCACGTTCGGTACCATTTTTTTTCGATCCACTGATTTTCCACGTCAGAGAGGTTGGGTCTCAGAGAATTCTTAAATCTGGCTGGAACTAAGTCCGATTGCTGCTCATGGCAAAAATAAAGTTACGCTTGTATTTGTGTACCCTTTTGTGCGCGATGACAATATTTTACGCCTAAAGCGTAAATAAAGTACGCAACCTGTAAATATGTAGCGATTTTTTATCGCCTACTTGAGAGAGAAAAAGGTGTTTCGTCCCGAAAGCACTCCAGGACTCATCAGTAAGGCTGATGACGTGCTCCCTTCCTTAGACACAGGAGAGGTGTGGGCTCAGATTGACTCGATCGCGCTTATATACTAATCGTGCGGGAATTTCACCGCTTGACGGGAGAGAATTATTAGGGGCTTGGCCACCTGGCAAGTAGAGCCTGAAGCACGAGAGATGTGATACGCCACAAATACAGTCAGCAGCTAATGTGTACAATAACAATTACAGTATATTAATTGTATAATTAATGAAATTTCTGACATCAATGAAAAATAAGTCGTAAGAACTTTGGGCTCATTGTGGAAATATCGTACTACCTATGCAATGACCCAATATCGCAAAGAAAAAGTGAGAAGTGTTATGATTAAGCTGTATGAAATGTTTTAACGGCTCTTAAACAAAAAGAAAAAGAGAAGTATATACTTGAAAACTTATTTTGTGATATGTCCGCAGGATAGAATTCACTTGCGTTGAGAACTCTGAAAGCTTTTTTTGTTGACAAAACAGCAGATTGGTCAACTCCCCTCTACTTTACACTTACGCGATACGCGAGGCTTTTACACCTTTTTAATGTGACCACTAAGTGGCGTATTCGCTCCGTGTATCAGGTTGGAGGGGATTAAAAAAACGACTGCAGCGCTGTAGGTGAGCAAAGTTGGCGAACCCGTACCCCCATGAATCTTACAGTAAGCGTTGTCTTATATGAGAAAAGATATTATTTCATTTAAAGTAATTAGTTGAGAAATCGAAGGCGGAAAAAAAATGTTATTTAGCCAAACCAGGTTTATAATACGGATAAATAATTAGGCTAGGCACTTCAAATTGCCCGAAATTTTAAATAATGGGTTATTAAATATCATCTGTCATACAGTACACAACACACATACTTATCTGTAATGTTGTATACGTGTGAGCAAGAACTCCAATCAGTCGACATAGGCTGCCGCTAGCTGTATAATCTGAATCAGTGTTTACGTTTACAAAGTAACGAAATGTGTACGAGACAGTGTTGCGTTGTTAATTGCAACAAGAAAGAAAAGCAGGGGGTGGTGCTGTATAAATTCCCAAGTAGACCCCATGAAACAAAACAGAAGGAGCTGTGGATTAGGGCTGTTAGGAGACAAAAGGTCGTACCTAACCTACGGAAATTTTTTTATTATTATTATTGATTATAAGTAAAATTATCATGAAAATTTGACAGTCCAGATGGCAGTTTGTGTATATGTTACCATAACCTACATTTGTCAAGCATAGGCAATAATGTACTTACAGATAATTCTACTTTGTATGGATTTAAGCTGAGAGATGTTTGTCTCACAACATAGCAATTGATCAGATGACCGACTCCTTTATTTACATATTCCTGTACGTAGGCAACGTGCCCACTCTCTACTAATTTTTTAGCTTTTTTCAGCGTTTCATTATTAAAAACTATGTTGCAACTTATACTTTTAAAGCCTGTTTGGATAATCNGTATACCGAATGTGTGCCTACGAGGAGAGGAGTGGAAATGTTGACTATAGCTATATATCTGAGCGCACAGCCAAAGCAAGCGACGACATGAGTTTTTCTCTTTTGACTGCAACCACCTAACCTTCCTTACTTTTACGCGACACGCTTTATGCTTTACGCTTTTCCATGTGCCCGAGCCCTAAGGGTTGACTGGCTTAAGTAAACGTACGACCATAGAGATATAAGGATCCTTACATATCTATATTCGTACGACGTGTTTTTATATTCTTTGCTTGAACGAAACTAATTTATTTCGCATTATAACGGATCATCACTTTTGTTTTATTTGCATATGAATCAATAGAGATTTGCACAACTCTATAACTCTTAGAAAGTTTTAATGTTGCTAATTAAAAGTTTTAATGTTGATAATGTTGTGTTGGTAATTTTTTAGTGCCTGCAGAATTATCTTAATTAACGATTCAAAATGAGCAATGTTAGTCCCACAATATTGTAATTTCAATGTTGATAAAACTCGTTTATTAATATCCCTCAAAATTTTCAGCTGAAAAAAAAATTTATTGACAAAAGAAATTCTGTAACTTTCCAAGTTGTCCATAGGTCTTTAAAAGATCCTTTGTCAGCTGATGAAACAGCACCACAGAGAGTGCTTGTTCCTGTGCCTGACAAGAAGTCCACAAAACAACAAATAAACGACAATTGTGATCTAAAAAACCAAAAAGAAGAACAAAAAAAATATGGTGTTTTTTTTGATGACGATTATAATTATCTTCAACATTTAAGAGATGTAACTAAGTTGCATTCAGAATGGGTTGAAGAAAAATGCACCGCCAAACAAAGAAGTTCTATTGATGGACATAATTATAAAATAAGCTTACCTTCTTCAGCCTTTGAGAGTGGTATTGAAGAAAAAGTAGGTCTTTTTAATAAAGTATCTCCAGAATTAAACATTCAACTGGAATCTTATGATCCAGATGTCATTGCTGCCTTAGATGATGATTTTGCCTTTGATGACCCTAATAATGAGCTAGAAGATAACTTTGTTGAATTAGCTGAAAAAAAATCACTTCAAGATATTATATTAAGTAACAGAGGTACACTCATACATATGTATTTCTGTTTATTTTTTAAGAAGAAATATTGTAATTATCACTTTTTTTTTTAATTTTAATCGAACTAATTGTATTGCAGAGTTTAATGAGGAATCATACTTACATAGCAATACTACAAATAATTTTAATGCTTTTAAGAATATTAAATATGCTGAAGATTCACAATCATGTTTTACTGCATATTCTATGAGTAGCAGTATTATAAAAAGGAATGATAAACTTAATCTTCTAGATGATACATTTGAAACAGTGAGTATAATCTTCTTTTTGTATCTATTTTGCCATTTTTTTTAAATACATGAAGTCAGTTACAGACAATCCTGCTGATGACAAAATCCACAGTGATAATGATAAATACTTTCACATAATTAATCAAAAGTAATAATTCTTATTCAAGATATGTGAAAAAAATTTTACAACATAAAGAGGCTTAAGAATTAAAACATTAATTAGTCAGAAATTAACTTTCTTAAAACTAAAATGTTGGGGAGTAAGTATATGATACAGTTTCCACATTGACGTTTAATTCGAAGGGACGAGAAAACTCCATTTCTAGTATGTTTTGTGTGTCAACCCTTCAACTTTTACTGAACAAATTTTTGGTTGTTTGAGATAAAGCTGAAACTAGCAGCCCCATAGCAGCAGCGATTTTCAGCAACAATTTCTAATTTGGGTTTCGTAAAGACTAAACACCAGGCACCTTTCTAATTTAGTAAAATGAAAGTATCCGTCTTATTTTTTTAAGGGTACTCAAGGTAGACTTTGTTATTTTACAGTATTGCTGCTGCAATATAGCTGCTAGGTTCAACTTAATTCACTTGAGAAAGGAACTTAACTTAACATACGAATTCTATTAATCCTTAGTTTCTTTTTTAAATTATTTGTAACATTTTAATTTCAAAAACCACTTAGTAACAATCACACAACAAATATAATTGACTTTTTTTTTACCATTTTCCCAAAACATTTTTAAGTCCAAATTTTTTAAAAAACGCACAAAACAGTTAGAAGTACTTAAAAATACAGGAAAAATTAAGAATCTGGACAAATACGATTTTGGCATAAGAAATCACCTGATTAATCACCTGATTTCCGAAAGAAGGGATGAGATTAAACGCTATTTCAATCTACCTGTTTCCGAGTCTGTATCATCGACTGCAGTGATCTTAAGGTTGTATAGGACACCCTTTTTAAGCTAGAGTGCACTTTTCAAATAAAATTTTTTATTAAGTCTTCTAAATCTTTTAAGATAATATTATTTATAAATCCTAAACATATAGTGAGGCTAAATCAAGAAAAAATTTTGTTTGAACAAATTGCTCAATTATTTATAACAATAGAGCCGTTTAAAAAAATCTACTCAACGCTTNAAGAGTCAGTTAAATATATATAGCATATACTCAGTTGCAGTCAAAAGAGAAAAACTCATGTCGTCGCTTGCTTTGTCTGTGCGCTCAGATATATAGCTACAGTGAACGTTTCCACTTCTCTCCTCGTAGGCACACATTCGGTATACCCCTTCTACGTGTCGCCAAAATGTGCGCCTATATGCTCATTTCCACGCGAATCAACTTCTCTTCTTGTAGGTGCATGCTCTTCGATACGAGTCTCGCACTCTCGAAAAATGTGCACCTAATTGAGCGACTTGTTCAAACAAAATTTTTTCTGGTTTTTATATGTTAATAATTTATTAACAATGTTGCGGTTAAGTATTTAGAAGAATTAATAAAAAATTTTATTTCAAACGTTTACTGTAGCGTAAAAGAGGTACCCTTTGCCCTAAGATCAACCTTTTCTTTTCACCGTCAAAGTTATTCCGCATATGCTCTTTAAAAATGAAATTATAGGGGATGAAACTATATGCAGAAGACGTAACTTACGCATCAGGGCACACTTATGCCCGTCAGCTCGGCTACTTGCCCATCACTGTACTAGGACTTTCAGGATCCGGCCTCATACGCTAACTATAACCGCAGGCCTATCTTGCCCATGACCGTCTACAGAGATGAGTAAAGAGATTGCTAACGCTAATGCTACGGCGTGAGACAACTTTTTTTCCGCTGATCGGGGCGACCCGCCGCGGCCAGCCGTCGAACCAAGGCGCACATTTTTCGAGAAGTCGTGCGAGACTCGTATCGAAGAGCGTGCGCCTACAAAGAAGAGAAGTGGATTCGCGTGGAAATGAGCACATAGGCGCACATTTTGGCGACACGTAGAAGGGGTATACCGAATGTGTGCCTACGAGGAGAGGAGTGGAAACGTTGACTATAGCTATATATCTGAGCGCACAGCCAAAGCAAGCGACGAGACAAGAGTTTTTCTCTTTTGACTGCAACCGAGTATATGCTATATATATTTAACTTACTCTTGCTCTCTCGCTTTTGCTTGGATGTTATCTATCAATCTTACATTCGATTAAATCGTGAAACTAAATGCTCACAACTATATGCAAAGAATTTGAATCAAAACATTTTTTTTTTCCGTACGTTAATACTTAATTTGAAATCTAGTATTACTTTGAAAAAATGTTTAGCTTATTTTTTTAATGATGGCAGTTCAGCTATAACCACTGGTTAATTATTTTTCCTCATCATAACTGTTATGAACTGTAGGACATGCTCCGGAGGTTATCGATAAACATATGTGACTTTAAGATCTCCTGCATTCGAAGTTTCGATAGCTAAGGTAGTAAGGGCTCATGCTACTAATATTCTTGTTTTGCTATCTGAGGATTGATTCCAACTGTCGGCAAATTTTTTTTTTTAACGTGATTCATCATTCTAGTTTATTTTCTTTCTATTTATGTTTTATTGAAATTTATAAATAATATTAATAAACCCTTTTCTCTC